AACCTGATTCAATAATTAAACCTCAAGGTAACCATAAAGTCTTCTAAAATCATGAAATATTTCCAATGCTTCTTATGATTAATGATTCCTCAAAGCAAATTTAAGCTTTTCCAATAGAATTTCTTGGGTGGAAAGTTCCCATGATAATCTCTCACATTGGTCAGAACTAGAAGTAGAAAACTTTTGCGAAAGAGCTTACATCTAACTACTTGACATAACTTACTATTACTACTTGACATAATTTACTATTACTAAATTGCAAATCATTAAGAATGATTGTACATCTTCTCAAATGAATCTTAAGAAGGGTTGTGTATTAAATAAAATTCATGAAGAAATAGTTTATTAAATAGTTAAATATATTTTTTGTGTTTATGAAGTTAACCATATATTTTTTACTTTTTGATTTGTAGTTCTCAAAAGAGTTGTTTGTAGATAATCAAAGTAACATACAAGCTATTTCATAAACAGATTCCACAATGATTCGATTTTAGCTAAATAAAATTTCTTAAATGTCATGAGTTTGTTATTAATTTGCCACTTTCATGTGTTCACCATTTTGAGGTGAATATTGTGATCACATCTTGAATATTGTTGTATGTACTACTTTTTATTTATTTATTCATGCTGGAGAGAGTGCATCGATATGAACATGTCATGTGATACAAATGGGTTTCTTGAAGTGGCAATAGATAGTAAAGGTATGAGTCTTGATTGTTCTATATTCTGTTGAGAAATCTAATATAATTTGTATAATCTAAACTCAAGCTTAATTAGAGTTTTTTTTAGTCTATTTAGTGTATAAGTTAGGTGCATATAAATAGTCATAGTTTGTATCATTATTTGTAATAATTTAATTTATAATAGAATCTTTATTTCCTTATTCTATCTCTTTCTCTCCTCACTAAAAGTGTTTCACGCACTAAAAAATTGATATTTAGAGCTCTGGTTAGATCATTGACCGTGTTTTCAAGAATCACACGTCAGAGATCGTATTTTTTGGATCTTAGATTATTGTCAATCAATTGTTGTGAAGATGAATGATACTAATGGTATTTTGAATTCTTTTCCAACTCTTAACGGCAAGAATTGGATTTGATGGAGAAAATATATACAATATTTGTTTGACTTTCATGAAATCCTAGAAGTGATTACCAATGGCGTTCCTACACTGGCTGCAGATACAACTAACGCACAGAAAACCACTGACAACGAAGCAAAGAAGAAGGATTGCAAGACTGCGTATTGCATTCAAACGGCAGTCGATGCGGCGAATTTCGACAAGATCTCTCATGCTGAATAGGCGAAGGAGGCATGAGATATTCTTGTTAAGTACTATGAAGGAAGTTATAAAGTCAAGGTTGTCAAGTTGCATACCTTGCATCGACAATATGAATTATTGTCGAAAGGAGAAGATGAAAAAATTGTAGAGTATATGTCGAAGGTACAGAAACTCATCCATCTCATGAAGGGTTGTGGTGAAACCCCACATAATAAGATGATAGTTGAGAATGTAATGCGTACGTTAAACTCTCACTTTGATCACGTTATCATAGCTATTCAAGAATCCAATCAACTTAAAACTCTAAAACTGGAAGATTTGGTTGGTTCGTTAGAAGCGCATGAGATTAGGATTGCCGAAAGGAAATGAGTTCAAGATTCATTACAAGCTTTGCAGGCTCATTAATGGAAAAGAAATGGTGGTTCCAACAAATTCAAAGGCAAAGTCGACAAGACTTAAGGAAAGAAGTATTGGTCGAACCCTCGTAAGCATTAAGTTGATGATAGGAATTTTGAATCCTCGGAAAAGGAATGAGGAAACTATCAAAAGGACAAATAAGATTAAAAAAAAGGTGTGCAATGTTATAACTCTGAAAAGTGGGGTCACTTGGCCAAGCATTGTTGGTACAGAAAATACAAGGGATCAACAAAAGGCAAGGACGAAAGAGTAAATATTGCACGCCAAGATTCATATGATTTTGAAGATATGGTGGTTATGGCTGAAGTTGTAGATAACCATGTCGAATCCAAGATCTGATTCCTCGACTTAGACTTCTCGAATCACATGACTGGTCAAAAGATATGGTTGGCAGATTTCGACGAGTTGAAGAATATCAAGGTAAAACTTGTTGATAATAATACATTGCAAGCAGAAGGTACTGGAAACATAGTTTTTCGAGTAAGTAATGGAGGGAAAGTTATGGTCAAATATGTACTCTATGTATCTGGAATTAAGTGCAACATTTTAAGTGTTGGGCAACTATTGAAAAAGGTTTCATAGTTGTCATGAAAGATGGAGCTTTAAACTGTTCGACACCTAGAAAAACATGGTCTTAAAATCTCTGCTATAGAAGAATGGGACGTTTAAGACCATGATTATTTCGACTTAAGTACAATGTCTAAAAATTGTTGTCGAACACAAGGATAATTGGTTGTGGCATTTTAGGTTTGGACATTTGAACTTTCAATCACCCAATCAACTGATTACTCAAGATATGGTAACTGGTATCCCAAGTCTTATGATGCCCAAAAAACTATGTGAAGGGTGTTTAGTCGGAAAGCAATCCAGAAATTCTTTTGTTTCGAATATGCCAATGAGATCATCCTGCATACTCGAAGTTGTACATCCAGATGTATGTGGCCCGTTCTAAGAGCATACCATTAGTGGAAACAGATATTTTGTTTCGTTTGTCGATGAGTATAGTTAAAAGCTCTGGATCTATGTGATCAAGTGAAATGATGAAGTATTTGAAATCTTTAAGAGATTCAAGATACTTGTCAAAAACTAAAGTGAGAAGAAGATCAAAGTTCTGCGAGCAGATGAAGATGGTGAATACGCATCCAAGATGTTTGAAGATTTTTGAGCAGAATATGATTGTCGATCATGAGGTAACTTCTCCTTATACGCCTTAACATAATGGAATTGTAGAAAGAAGAAACGTAACCATATTGGATATGGCGAGATGCATGCTAAAGCAGAAGAATTTGCCAAAATCTTTATAGGGTGAAGCTGTTTCGACTGCAGTTTATATCCTTAACAGGTGCCCTACAAAGAAATTGAAGAACAAGGTTCCTGAAGAAGTATGGAGTAAAAGACGATCATCAGTAAGTCATTTGAAGGTGCTTGGTTCTATGTGTTATAAGTATGTTCCTGATGTAAGAAGAAGAAAGCTTAATGACAAGAGTCAACCTATGAATTTGGTAGGATATCACAAGACTGGTGCATACAGGGTATTTAATCCTATTAATAAGAAGATTGTGATAAGTCGAGACATTGTGATTGATGAAAATTTTGCCTGGGATTGAAATTCTGGTGATGCAATTAACAAGCCATTGATGAGTTATGGTTTCGATGAAGTAATTGATGAAATTGAAGTAGAAGGAAATGTCAATGTTCCAGTTCAAGTCGAAGTCGAAGAAGTTGTTGATATTCTCGACACAGTCAAAGAGGGTGTGGCTAGAACAAGCCAAATACCTCAAAGATCTAAAGTTCTTTCAGCAAGACTTCATGATTATGAAGTGATTGGTGATGATGAAGTCACATCAGATGAAGAATTAGTTCATTTTGATTTACTTGTAAGTGTTGAACCAATCAACTATAATGAGTCTTTGAAGAATAAACTGTGGAAGTCTGCTATAGTAGAAGAGTTACATGCAATTAAAAGAAACAACACATGAGAGTTAGTCTAATTTCCAACACATACAAAAGCTATTGAAGTAAAGTGGGTGTTCAAGTTGAAACACAATGTTGATAGATCGATAGCAAGACATAAATCAAGATTAGTAGCTCGAAGTTTTCTTCAAAGAGCATGACTCGCCTACTCTAAATTATTTGCTCCAGTAGCAAGATTGGAGAGTCTTCGACTAGTGGTAGCCTTGACATGCAACCAAGGTTAGTCGACATTTCATTTAGATGTGAAATCAACATTTCTGAATGATCCTTTAGACGAAGAGGTTTATGTCACACAACCTCCAAGATTTGTGATTCAAAAGGAATCGAGTGAGGTGTATAAGTTGCACAAAGTGCTCTATGGCCTTGAGTAGGCACCTAGGCCATGGAACAAGAAGATTGACTCATACTTAGTCGAATTGAGATTCATCAAATGAAAATCTGAGTATGGTGTCTATGTTCAGGTTGTGGCATAAGATATAACAATCATCTGCTTATATGTCGATGAATTGTTAGTAATTGAAAATAGCTTGGAGAACTTGTCGAAGTTCAAAGAGCTGATGATGAGAGAACTTGAAATGTAGAGATTCAGAATGGATGATTCAACTCCAACATCTTCTGAGATTGAACTGCAGTTCTTCCTACTAAGTCTCGCGCTAATCACCATTAAACCAATTAACTATCTATTGCTATATTATCTAAATGTAGTTGTATTAAGAGTTATTAATCCCGGATAGTGGAGCGGAGCGGCCGACTCCCGAGAATGGGAAAAGTGGGAATAGCGGGATGCCGAATAACGGAATAACTTTTTGTATAGTAATAATTATATGATAATCTATAAAACATATGTCTTGTAATACTAAACTAATTTCACAACACTCATAAAATATTTATAAAATCTAATGTCAAACAAAGAACAGTGTTTAATCAAGATTCAAAACATAAAGATTTAAATTCAAAGTTAGTACTATCATATGAAAATTCAAGCAAACATAGAAATCATGTAGCATCATCAAAATATTTCTCCAATTCTTCATCTTCTTCATATTCCTCCAACTCTTCATCTTCAACTTCTTCAAAATAAAAAGAAACAGTATTTACAACAAAACAAAATAGAAGAAGTAGAAAGTAGAAAGAAAAGAAATAGAATAAGTTAAAGAATTAGAAGAAATTACCTGAGATGGCAGAAGGAGATGGAGGAAGAACCGGAGAAGGAGAGTTACAGGGAGATGGCGGCAGAATCGTAGAAGGAGAGTTGAGAAATTAGGGCACGATAGAACACAATGAATGAGAGAAAAAGAAAATAAAAACTCTTTTAAAATAGGGGTATTTAAGTAATTTGACTCAAAAAATTATAATTTTTTTTTAAAAAGAGAATCGAAGCCGCTCTGTCCAAGAACTTCTCGCAATCCGATAATACGGCTAAAACAGTCGCTTTTTCTTCTCCGTCACTGCATCCTACATATTGCGCGGCGGGGTGCCACACCGCTACGTACGCCGCGATAACGGCCGGAACACCGGCTATTGACAACTCACGTTGTATTATACTAATAAATAAAAATGGGAGGAAAAAAAAGAGCATAATTGGTAAAAGTGTGTGGAGACCGTGTTTCGCAGTTACAAATTTACAACGAAGCATCGTCCATTAATATATAAAACGCAACCGTTTCATTTCATCGAATATTCAAAGACGCGCTCTTTCATAATCATCATAGAAAAAGAAACACCGATTTTTCTTTTCTCTCTCTATGGCAGATCAACTCACAGACGATCAGATCTCGGAGTTTAAGGAAGCTTTCAGCCTATTCGATAAGGATGGCGATGGTTAGAATCGAATCGAATCTCTCGCCGTTTTCGTTTTTCTTTGATTTTGATATGATGATTTTTTTTTGTAGATCGGTTTTTTTTCTTGTTGTGATTGAATTGTTCTTGATTTCGATTAGGAATTTTCGTGGTTTTTGGTTATGATTTGATTATTATTCATTTGTTTTGAATTTCTTTTAGATTTTGTTGATTTATAGGCGATTTGAGTTTTGTTGATTTAGATGAACGCATGTTTCCGAAAAATTGAATCGGAAATTTTAATCAAGTGTTTCATGAAAAAAAATAACTCATGAAGCTAAAGAAAATTGCGATTTATTGGAAACAAGTTGTAGCGTATTCGTTCAAACTATGATAATTCTGACGCGACTTCTTGATTTTATTTTAATAGTTGCTATTTTATAATGATGCTATTGGAAAATAATCGATTACGTGTTTGTGTTGCATTAGCATCGGACATAAAGGCTTTCACAATTTCGGTCGGGACAGGTGTCACAACAGTAATTGCTGTCATTCCGGTGTGAATTAATCACAATTTGTTCTTTAACATAAAAAACAGTAATAATTGTATCGGCTGTCAATACCTTTTTGTCGCTGCCATTTTCGTGGTCGCAGTCCCTTTTTTTAAAACCCTGGCACCAACACCTTTAAAAAAAAGGTGTGTATGTGTGGCACCGGCATTTGTGATTGCTTTTAATTTTATTTAATTTTTTTCCAAATTATTATCAGTGTCGTAGTGTTAGTTCTGTGTTTCTGGAGTCGTGTGCTTCATAGATCGGACACTATGCACTTATGCGGTTCGATTTTATCTGAAGTGTTTGTGTTAAATAGGTCAAGCCTTGGTGGTAAAGATTATGATTTCAATGATGAAGTGAGGGATAAAATATAAGTCTTACCTTGATAATGCTTAAATGACATGTTCAGCTACATTTGCAACCCTTTTTCAGTGTTATTGACATTTTGTGAATATTATTCATAGCTACTTTGCCTATGGTTTGTGAGTTTGTTTATGTATCTGAGTTTGAGAAACATGGCATGATGGTAGGTGCTGAAAGATATGTTTTTTCATGATGTGGGTTCTTGTAGAGTTTTTGCTTTGTTAAACATCAGAACTTTCTTTTAGTATTTAGATTTAGAAGTTTATTTTTCTATTGAAAATACACAAAGATTCATGATTGAGTTGATTATACATTTGCTATTTGTATGTGGCTTATATAGTTGTAGTGAGGAAGAGTGCAGGAGATGAATTGAATCATACTAACCATAATTATATCATGAACGAGAGAAGTTTAATTACATATTGGCTATATGCGACTAGTCTGTGTGGTGTTAAGCTTCAAAATAATGGCTCGACCTTGTAACTTTAAGAGGCATAGTTCAAATCTCATCCGAGATAATGCGTAGTTAGTAACATTTTAATCAGTGATAATTGCTTGATGTAGCTATAAATTTGTTGATGATAATTATATATGGTTTGAACTTGCAGGTTGCATCACCACCAAGGAGCTTGGAACTGTTATGCGATCATTGGGACAAAACCCAACTGAGGCAGAGCTTCAAGACATGATCAATGAAGTAGATGCTGATGGGAATGGTACTATTGACTTCCCTGAGTTTCTTAACCTCATGGCAAGGAAGATGAAGGACACGGACTCTGAGGAGGAGCTGAAAGAGGCATTTCGGGTTTTCGACAAGGATCAGAATGGATTCATCTCTGCTGCTGAGCTTCGCCATGTGATGACCAACCTTGGCGAGAAGCTCACTGATGAAGAAGTCGATGAGATGATTCGAGAGGCTGATGTTGATGGTGATGGCCAAATAAACTACGAGGAATTCGTTAAGGTGATGATGGCCAAGTGATTGATCTCTCTCTCACTTCATTTCTATTACTTGTATAACAGTGCTTTGTAGTAGCCGTTGTCGTTTCTTCTTACATTTTTATTTCATGGTTAAATGTTAATTAGTGGTAAGTGTTGCTACTCATGATTGTTGTCCAATGGTGTCTTTACTAGTTTTTCTTGTAATTTTATTCCTTAAAAAGATGTAATGTTGATTTCACTTCAGATTCTACCACTTCTCATTTTTTGGTGAATGGTTATTACATATGCGATTTTGTAAGTTTCATTATTAGATTTATCCTTTCAAGTTTTTTCTTTTAGCTATATTCTGTATTAAAGGAGCCGCATTATTTTGTTTCTCAAACTAAGAACCGCAAATCTATCAAAAAAGAGAAAAACTATAAAAAAAAAATTAGAACTATTTTTAAAAAGACTGAAAAACTGACTGTTTAAGGAGGGGAAAGTGAATGAATGTTATTGTTTACACAATAATAAAAGAGATGATTCTTTCTTTATAATATATCATTCACCTTGGAAAAATAGTTTAATACTACGGTAAAATATAAATAATAAAGAAATTGATGCGTGAAAAAAAATAATAACATTGGTATTAAATTAATACCAAAGGAAATAAATCATTTTAAATAAAATCACTAAAAACTACTGTTAAATGAAATAAGCCTAATAGTTTGATTGTGAGGACAATTTATATGCTGATCACAATTCGAATCCGGATCACCATTACTTCCTCCTACCAGTAATTATAATTACTTAATAGTGTTAGTCTATAAGAAGCATAAAATTTTTATAAGTTATTACAATATTTTTGAAATGATATAATGCATTTTAATTTCAAGGGTAATTTGGGTATTTTTAATGGTTATATAAATTACAAAAAGAAAATACAAAACTTAAAAACTAAAGAATTAATTGGAGAAAAAAAATTAAAACATGGCAATTTTGTTATTTGATGTGGTATTTTTAATATATCAAACAAGTGCTAAGATAATATAATGTTATTATACTTAATAGAAGTTAGAAACAAAAACATGTACATGTTTGTCAATTTGGTGTTTTTTTATTAAGTTAATTTAGTGTGAGGATTTTTTTTGTTGGTAAATGGAAAGAAAAAGGTATAAGGCAATGTAGATTGACTCAATTGATAAGAAATTGGCTCATATATCGAGTAGTTGTGAGTTCAACCATGATGTGAAGATCTCTTTGATAGATGATCTGTAAATATTTTTATAAATATTTTTTTATTCTTATGATCTGCCCTGATTATGTTAAGCATCCGGAGACCAACTCATTTAAAAAAATGTAACCATAAAAAAGAAAAGAAAAGGTACGAGAAAGAGGAATTAGGTCAAAACACCTTAACAACAAATAAAACAAACAAGGAAAATAAAATAAACAAGGAAAAGGCTAGTGAAATATAAAGTTAGGGAGCATTAACTTGTTCCTAATTAAGTCATGTATAATGACTAAAGAGAGGGGAGGTTAATCCCATAAATCAAAATTATGGATTGACAAACCTATGGAGGCAAGCATGTCACCACAATACTTTTCCCCTCTAAGAATATGTTTCAATTCAAAGAAACTTCCATTATCTTGTATGTGCACATTCTCCCATGAGATCAATTGTGTGGTTTATTGTGATTTGAAGCTAAGTCCAAATTTTTGAAGCAACTAGACAATGAAGAAATAATTGATTGGAAGATTCTGCATTAGAATTTCAAAGGTTGTAGATAGAAAGCATATAGCAACCTCTGAGCATGAGATTTTCATCACTTATTATTATCTTACGGATCAGTATCCAAACCATAATAGCATACTTAGAATGAGGTATGGCACTATTCCAAATAATCTTAAACCAAATGCATTAAGAACTTCAATTATGAATTTTTATTCCATTGTGTCAAATGTATTTGCAATATCAACTTTGACTGCTAGATTTCCATGAAGAGACTTGTGATGTAACCTGTTGATAGCTTATAATGCAAGGCATATAAAATCTTTGATTTTCATTATTGGAGTTAGAAAAGAGCTCAGGGAAATAATGTGTTTGGTTTCATACAACACTCTCTCAAACCAAATGTTCCAATAATGGCATGGAAAAGATTAAAAATCAACATTAAATAAATTGATAAGAGCAGTCTTTAAATCACTTTGAAACATTTCTCCACAGCAACAGAAATTATCAAAAGGGCATTGAATCATCAAGAAGCAAACAAATAATCTGATTTTTGAAAGCCTATGAATTTTCTATTACAAGTTAATCAAATACATCTTTGAGATACATAGTTTTAATCTGTTAATCTGTATCCATTTCTTCAAGAGCTGCTTTGGTTGTTGTCTTAGCTTCTTCTAGAAGTGCCTCTGGGACCTGCATATCATTATATTAGCAACAGTGATCCATCTCTGCTGTAACCACCTAGTATGACACTACAGTTGAAAGGTTTGTAGACCCATTAAGATGAACTAAAATCTAAGCTTCAGAGAAAAGGGGTAACCTACCCACTTTAATCATATGCTTATTTTGTTTGTGACAACACCTCCGAATTTTTGTGACAGGACTTTGGGCCCGTTTTCTTTAGTAGTAATAGATATGGCACACTCAGATATGCTTTCTAGAGCTATTGTGAGTATGGATGTTAAATCAGTCGAAGTGAATCACGACTATAAATAGGATGAAGTGAATAATAATGTTAAACCAGAAGAAGTGAATGATGATGTTAAAACAGATGAAGTGAATGATGATGTTAAATCGGGTGTTTGGTCGGTTGTTGTCGAGGTAGATGTTTGTGCACAATTTACAAATAAAAAAGAGTTTATTATTCGTGAACATGTGCTACAATAAATCCGCAGGGAGGCCGGAAAATTAGGGTTTAGCGTTATAATCGGAAGATCCAACAATGGTTCGGATATTAGACAAGCATTTGTAATAATAAGATGCGAAAGAAGTGGCATGTCTAACCACAGATTAGGAAGTTGAAACGAGATGACACGGAATCGAGGAAATGTGAGTGTTCGTTTAACTTACGTGGATATTGTATGGCGGATGAGACATGGAAATTTAATGTCATTTTCGGTATACATAAACATGCCTTGACCGACAAACTAGCCAGTCATTCCATTGTATGATGTCTTGTTTCGGGGGAGAGGGAACTTGTTTCGCACATGACATTAAACATGGCGGCGCCAAAACATACTCGCGTATTTGAAACAGAAAAGATGCCCAAAATTATTTTCAAGGGTGCTCGCATTAACAAACTATCCCCTCCACCATTGTTACCAAAAGTTAAACACATTGAAGAGATGCGTCTTTTATGCACAAATACATTGAGCAGATTGTAAATGTTGAAGGTGTCAGCAATTGTGGTTTTCGAGTTGTTTCAGATTGCTCGATAAGGGAGTGGACCAATACCAATTTTTTTCTCATCATCTTATACAAGAGATGATGATACATAGAGAATCATACACAAAGCTATACGGGAACAAAGCAAATTACGATGCAATTCTCAATGCTCTATTTCCTTGTCTTAGTGGTCCGACTCCATGTGACAAATGAATGTGTTTCCCAGAAATGAAATACCTTATAGCAAGTACTTATGATAGGGTGTGTATTTATTTAACACGATATAGTTTTTCATAAACATTCTTCCTGCTTCAGAGTAAGTCACCTCAAAATATATTTGAACACATCATGTGTATTGATTGACTATCAAAAAATAATATTTTATTCAGGTTTATTTGAAATTGAGATGTTCTATACCAAAGATATCACTTGAGTGGATGACACATTTCACACAAGATGCTAAAACTTGGTCGGATCACTTTCTAAAAATGATCGATGAGTTCACCAAGTTGAGCGACATTGAAAGAGAAGAAAATAAGGAAATGTCAAAGAATGAACCACCAATAGGTTTAGACAGTGACATATGTTTTGATGCATTTTAGTTGTAATCTAACTATGTAAAATACTTTTTTGTATGTAATGCATTGCATAATATTATAAAATTCGATGGTATTTTTTAGATTCTACTCTGCATAATACATTGGTTCTGTTCTTCATAATTTTTTGGTAGATCCGTCCGGACACACCTTTTTATCATTAAAAAAACATGAGACTATACAAATGTGCATCTCTGTATAGACCTTTATTTTTTGGGGAAAAAAGGCGGATCTGGAGATGTATCTATGAAGTCTTTCTTGAAGATCTGATAGGTTTTTTGTCCTTACGGTCTCTCGTTTCATTTTCTTTACAAAAACCTGAATGAATACACATTCCCATCTTGCATTTATGTACTTCAATGGCACAAATCCCTCTCTTCAGTTTAGGGTCTCTGAGGATATATTTCTCGTCGATTTGAAATACAAACTAAAACTCTCATGTGATATCCAAAAAATCAGAGAATTGTCAAACTCGAGTACTGTTCACTCGTGATTGACAATAAAGAGAAGATTCAGTTCACCATGCTTGAATTAAATACAGGTGATGATTTAAAGGTTATGTAGAATACCTTTTACTGTTACTCATCAAAGTGTCTGATTAAAATGGATGCGACGATTCAAATATCAAACGAAGATATTATAAAGATGTTGTAAAATCCTGAACCACCCGTTTGTAATGACATGACATGTAATATTAAATTTATGTTAATGTTAACAATTATCTATGTAATATTTATTTTGATGTTAATTTATGATATTTTTGTTATTTTGTCAATGTTCTTGTTTGTTTCTGGTTAAAACTAACGGAGCATTTTTCAGAGTTACATCTCCGAAAAACTCATGGAATATTAAACTAAAAGGGGTTACATAGATGCATCTTTGAATTAATATTTTATGTATACAAAGATGCATCACTAAATAAATTTTAACAGAATAAGGAGTTTCTCAATTATTTCGTCTGAGGTGTCTATAGAAAAGGTGCGTCGAAATATGTATCTCCAGACATTATCAGCATTTGAGACTTTTCACGATGATATGGAAGAATATATAAGTGAAAAGAATAATCCTCTTACAATTAAGTGGTTTGATTGCAAAGACAACTTATATCACTACCATGGTTGATCGCCACACTTCCTTCTAGAGGTAATTATAATTAGTTTATAGTGTTGGTCACAACAAACATAAAAAATTGATAAATTATTTTACAATATTTTTGAAATAATATAATAAACTTTAATCTCAAGGATAATTTGAATATCTTAAATGATTTTATAAATTTAAAAAATACAAAACTTAAAAACTATAGAATTTATTAGAAAAAATAAATAAAAACATGGTAATTTTGTTATTTGATGCGATATTTTTAACATATCAAACAACTACTAAGATAATATAATATTATTATACTTAATATGAGGTAGAAACAAAACATTTTTCATGTTTATCAATTTAGTGTATTTTTACTCGAGTTAATTTACTGTGAGGATTTTTTTTTTTTTTTGTAAATGAAAAAGAAAAGGTACAAGATAAAGTAGATTGATTCAGTTGATAAGAAATTGACTCATATACTGAAAAGTCGTCGATTCAACTGCTGTTGATAATGTGAAGATCTCTTTAGTGGGTGATCTGTAGATATTTTTATAAGTGTTTTTTGAGTCTTGAAATCTACTCTGATTCTATTGAACCTCTGAAACCCAACTCATCTAAATTTTTTTTGTAACGATAAAAAAGAAAGGTACAAGAGTAAAGAAAGGAGAGTTATGCCAAAACCCTTTTAACAACAAACAAAACAAACTATAGTGAAACATAAAGTTAGGAAGCCTTAACTTGTTCCTAGTTAAGTCATGTATAATGACTAAAGGGAGGGGAGGTTCATCCCATAAATGAAAATCATGGATTGACAAACCTATGGAGGCAAGCATGTCACCACAATGATTTTCCTCTCTAAGAATCTGAGTGATTATACAATGCAACTCATTTACTAAAGTCATACAATTAGTCTACATGTTCTGAATTTGCCAAGGAACCAAGTTAGTTGCCTTGCAGGCCAAGGTCTTAGAATATGTTTCAATTCAAAGAAACTTCCAATGTCTTGTATGTGCACACTCTAATGCAAGAATAATTCCCATGAAATCAATTGTGTGGTTTATGATGATTTGAAGCTAAGTCCAAATTTCTGAAGCAACTAGACAGTGGAGAAATAATTGATTGGAAGATTCTGCATTGGAATTTCAAAGGTTAGATAGAAAGCATATAGCAACCATTGAGCATGAGATTTTCATCACTTGGGATTTTCTTATGGATCAATATCCAAACCATAGCACACTTAGAAGCAGGTATGTCACTATTTCAAATAATGTTGGACCAATGCTTTATATGAAAGGCGTGAGAATTGGAATTTTAGGCATCTTTAAGAGTTATAATTCCTGAAGTTGAGTGTTTCCAAATGAACATGGCCTCCTTATTCTCCAATGGAATAAGGTTGATTGATGAGGGTTGATATATGAGGAAAAAATCTTGGACATTTGAAGAGGATCCAGTGCAAGAAAAAATTACATCATCAACATAAAGAATGTGCGATGGAATATTCAAAGATCTTTTTCCATTGATAAGCTTTAGTTTTCTGATTCAACTAGATTGGATAACCCTCTGCTTAAGAACTCCTCTTTCCCATGCTTTTATAAAACACCGCGTGAAATTCCAAAAATACTCTTGAAAATTGGAAATATATTTTTAATTCGCAGTCTCACATATATGTAATTCATTCGTATTTGATAATCGTTCTATTCTATGATGAAATTAAAATCAAAAATATACTTTCAATATAAATCACAAATATATTTTCGATTTCAACAACGTACTTTAAAATGAATTTAATATCTTCATTTGAGTCGCAAGATATTGTATTTTTTTTCTCCATTGAAACTTACAGAACTAACTAGGACCTAGTAATTTTTTTTAATCAAATAATAATCACATAAATTTCTGAATTTTATTTTTTATTTTGTTATAGCAGACTTTATCTTATCTTGTTTGAAAAGAATGAATTCTCCGAGTAAAAGGAGGAGGACCCGTTTTATTTTTGTCCAACAAATTTATATAATATGATCAAGTATGCGGATCAATAAAATAAATGCTTTGGATATTGATCCATAAGTCGACATTTCTGTTTTCACCTACTATTTTATAAAGTAAAGTAACTAATTCTATAGAGATCCAACCAATGGTGTTGAAACCTAAAATATATTTTTCAGAAATGTATTTCTACTTTTACATTTAATGTAATTTAAAAAAGATGCACACAGAAAATATACTTTCGATTTTAAAGAAATATTTTAATAATTGTATAAAATATTTCTTTTGAGTATGAGGTAGAATAAAAATTTCCCAAAAAAAAAACACAACAGATCTCCTTATCTAACTCCTCTAGATTAGGCAAAGAAACCTCATTGCTTAACGAAATTTTGAGCAAAAACCAAATGCATTAACTTAGATTATAAGGATCCAATCCATTGTCTGCAATATCAACTTCAAAGGCTAGATTTCCTTGAAGAGACTTGAGATGTAACCTGTTGATCGCTTATAATGCAAAGCTCCATTAATGCTGATAAAACTCTGAATATTATCAAGCTTCTTGACAGCCATATAGAACTAATAATCTTAATCGAAAATAACATATTTCAACAAAAACAATTGAAGGTTAACCCAAAATAAACAGGTCTCTTTTCATATATTTGGTGCACTCAATAACAAACATGATGGTATTATTTTATCATATTTATGCTAATCCATCAATCATTAGAATGAGACATTAACTTATTCTCTTAAACCAAGAATAACAATTTTAACATATGATACATGATAACATTTTTAAGATTAATTTATCTTATCATCTCATGCAGTTTCATCAAATATTAGAATGAGACATTATATGATACAAGTATCCTCATAGCTTCTTATCCAAACATGTCAAAATCTCTTCACTTAATGTTCGAGATGTGTGACAATCCTTGTATGAGATGTCAAAATCATATGCAAGATAAGTCAATATCCTTAGTAATTCCTTCTCATTTTCTCTCCAAATAACTCAAAACATAACATAACAGAATAAAGGATTAAAAAATAGTTACCAATGCCAAAATAATAGAAAATGCTTTTTTTTTTTTGGTTTCTAACTTTCAAGTAGTCACTAATGCTATGGCATGAAGCAGTTACAAAAGGAAATAAGCTAAAACTTGATGCTTCTAATCCTATGTAAGAAAAAGGAAAATAATGTGTTTGGTTTCATACAACGTTATCTCAAACCAAAGGTTCCAATAATGGCATGGAAAAGATTAAAATTCAACACTAAATTAATTGATGAGAGCAGTCTTTAAATCACTTTGAAACAGTTCTCCGCAGCAACAGAAATCATCAAGAAGCATACAAAAATCCAAATTTTCAGAGCAATCTTTAATTTAAAGCCTATGAATTTTCTATAGATGTTCTCAATGCTCTATTACAAGTTAATCAAATACATCTTTGGGATACATAATTTTAGTCTCTATTTAATCTGCATCCATTTCTTCAAGAGCTGCTTTGGCTGCTGTCTTAGCTTCTTCTAGAAGCTCCTCTGGGACCTGCATATCATTTATTTAATACCACATAATTAGGTTAACAAGACACAAAACACCCTAAAACTACAACTCCATGCAAACACTTTAATTCATTTTTTCTTTATAAAACAAGATTTTTTAGTGATGATTGAAGGGTAACACTTGAATGCAATTTTTCTTTACGGAAGATTCCAAAACTTCATTAAGTATGTGTTTGTAGCTTCTGATATTTCACAGTAAGAGGAAAAAATGAGTTTGAAATAATTGGACACAGATCCAAACAGAAGCTAAATTCGACTACATACAACATTTATTGATTCTGTACTCTAAATCCTTCACACTAAATTATTGACTCTTTGCACAATAAAGCTTATACCATAATAAATTTGATCTAACATACAATTCACTGGTGGCATAAGTGACCAATTGAGCCATGTGGGATGAATCGCCAGTACTCTAAATTACCATCTGATCATCAAACTTATTTATTAAGTGTGTATTTAGATTATTGACTCGTTGCACAATAAAGCCTATACTACAATTAATTTGATCTAACATACAATTCACCGGTGGCATAAGTGACCAATTCAGAGCCATGTGGGATGAATCGCCAGTACTCTAAATTACTATCTGATCATCAAACTTATTAAGTGCGTATTTAGATTATTGACTCTTTGCACAATAAAGCCTATACTACAATAAATTTGATCTAACATACAATTCACCGGTGGCATAAGTGACCAATTCAGAGCCATGTGGGATGAATCGCCAGTACTCTAAATTACTATCTGATCATCAAACTTATTAAGTGTGTATTTAGATTATAACCGTGTCTCCGACAAAATCAGTGACAGGCGATTTTGTTGGAGCTTAAAAGTGCAGCTTTGACTAAAATCAAGGAAGCACCATGATTTTTCCAAATTCACATTCAATCCAAACACATTAAAAGTGCTTAAGTGAGCTTTAAAAACCAAACTTTTCCTTGTTTGAAGCTATCAACTCAATTGCTTTCAATGAAAAGCAAAACAAAAAGACTATGCAAACCAATCGTCTCCCAGCCAGTCTCTTAACCTAAGAATTTCACTGGCTTTTCATTCTTTCAGACATAACATGAACAACAATTAGACCCGGTTGATTTTTGGACTCAAACCAAAGCATGGAAATGACACAACTCACTTAAAACCACCTTTGAAGAATGACATGGTATTGTTGTTGAATCACATAAACCTTAAGGAAATAAATAATAATATCCAGCCCATGTGAATATTTGGGTATTGCAGAAGATTGTGGAATTAACCAGAAACCTTAAATTCTGAATCAAAAGAATAAGGGTTTATTTATGATAATTTCAGAATGACTGGAACTAATACAAACCAAATAGATGAAACAAAGAAAAATATGTGGCTGCTATGCTATGAAAATTCGATATATAATCAGTATTGAATTAGAATAATTGAAAGAAAAATGTCACTGTATAAAAGTAAGTCAAAATACACCCTTTCTTACCTTTTCATGTTGACGATTTGATTCCTCACACACCCAGCTCATCTCGAGTTCGAAATCTTTATCCTTGGCCTCATCATGAACTCCATATATACTATTCGGCACAAATAATTGCAAAAAAAAATATGTAAGTAACAATTATCTTAAGTAATTGATACTGTGACTTGGAAAAAGATTCTGTTTTTTAAGGTAAAAAGCCCAACATACATCAAAAGGAAGGGAAATCCCTGTATGAGTCAGCTTGCAAATACAGAATAGGGCACGTTTCACATTAGGAATATAAAAAGTAATAAACTGGCAATAAGTATGCTACTTACATCTTAGCTACTTCAATAACTCCCTGTCGGCAGGTCAAATCTGCAAGCTTCAACTTTTCAATCTCTCTGCCAAGATATTAACAAGATAACATTGTTAACTAAAATGTGGATATAGAGACTGATGCAATGCAGCATAAGACAGAAATCACATGCGTGTGACTTTTCATATAACATAAAACAGTTTTTCACTAGCTGGATCAGCTAAATGCATCAAACAACATAATTTCTCTAAATCTCTATTAATGACACCTACATGTTTTCTTGGCCCCCCTCTACCCCTACTAATTGGGCCTCCCTTCAGATCAACCCTTATTACCAGTATTTTTTATATTTATCAAAATAAAATAATCCATTCTATACCATACTACTGCACAAAGAAATGGAGATGGTGCTGAGTTACATAGAGAAACCTCAATCAAATTTGTGCATATAATTAAACCAAATTCTTGCATTTTAAGTCTACCTTCTTAAATAAAAAGGAAAAGTTTATAGCCTACTCAAGCCACAACGGCAGTAGCCTTATACATTAAGGCAATGTTTCATAGACACACACATAATCCCAACACTCTTTTGACACCTTCCCAATAAAGTAGTTTCTTTATAGGTTCTGTTCAGTGAAGTATTTTTTCGCATGAGTCCTGAAAAAAAGTTTATTTATACTGAGTGTCAATTGGGTGTCTGCCTATGACCACCCTAAAATTATACCCAACACAAGTTACAAAACACACGCAGATGGAGTCATGAGCAGGGGAACAGGAAAAAATCGCAAGGTACAGGAGAAGGGCTTGAAGGCTAAGGTAACATTATCAACCATTCTAATAATCGTCTACATATAAGCTATGCGTAGTAAGAGAAGTTCAATGCAAGATTTTTACTCCACTCTTGCTTAACCTTCAGCAGCTGATTATTAAAATTTACAAACAGGGCCATGTAACAAAAACTCAAAGTAGTTATAAGATAGCAAGAAACATGTTTTATTGGAAAGGAAAAAAAATATTAAAGGAAGCAAAGGATGCAAGTAAAGTAGTAAGAATATATTGTCCCTAGCATAGACAGTAATGAAAAGGAAGCTACAATTGCTGATCGGTTTAGTATTGAAATGAAAAAACTGTATTAATTGTCAACTTACGTTTTCGCAGCCTGCCTGCCCTTCCCAATTGCAGCACCGAAGTACCTCTAAAACAAATACCAATCAAACAGATCAGTACAAAAATTATCACAGGGAACTTCAAAAAAAAATTATTAGTAGCTCAGGCAACAATGAAAAGTCTAGATATTTCTATCAAATGAAGTAGTCTCACATAAGAGACGCCAGAAGGTTCAACCATGTACAACTGTGGTCCATCTCTGTCGTAACCACCTAGTATGACACCACAGCCGAAAGGTCTGCAGCACAATTATAGATCAGTTATTAATATGAAGTACAGAGAAATATAACTTCAACAAAATGACTAGAAGACAAATGGATTTGCTGACCTGAGCCACCAATATAATGTACAAAGGTGCACATAGCTAGCCACGCGATCGGCAAGCTCCTTAACAGGAATTGGGTCACCGTACACACTAAAAAGAAATATATCCCACAATAAACACTTTTTCTTTTCAAAACTTTCAAACAAACAACTAAGAAAATCTCATAATTATGTGATTTACTTCAAGTTACACAAAATAGTATGACAGAACTATAATAACTCAACAATATGTAAATCATGGAAATGACTTATTTACTACATTGTTTCTTGCTTTGGTCGTCAATCATCAAGCAGTGTTTTCTGAATACTCTAAATACAAAGGGATCTTTAACTGGTTACAACTTACACGTGTAACAAAAATTAACAGAAAAATTAAGCATGCTCATTAAATAATTAACCTATTTCAAGCTTCAACAAACTTTCACCTCTATTTCGAGTTATCTAATCATTTCATTTAGTAAAAGGCAATGATGCCTAAGACTTGAGTATCATAATCATGTGTAATGTGTGTGGCTTTCACCGGGACCTCTATATCAATCCAGTGCAACATGTCAGCCAACATTTTGACCTTTTAAAATAGTGATTAGGATCTATTTGGATGTGTAAGTTGTAACATATCATCTTAGTTTGGAAAAAAGCTTTTAGTCAAATAATTGTGAGTAAGCGCACAGGTAGCATTAGGTAAATTATCATCAGTTAGTGAACCGTGTCAAGTCTTGTGCAGGACAGAGTAATCAGCTTTTGGGAATACTAATAAGTAGTAAAAAAGGGAAACTGTGATAATTTTAACATTTTACATAGTTAATATGGGTTGATAAGAACCTAAAAAGATTTGACTTTTGCTCTATTTGAAAATTTCATTATAGTTAAGTTGGCTTCAAGGGCCAAAACATCATCGAATCATTACACAGGGTTTAAATTAGTAGCCCTAAAATATAATTGGTTTAATTTCCTTGCTACAACTGCTTTTTTCCTCGAGAAAGATATAGCTAAATGGAAAGAACTTATAATTAAGTTAGCTTCAAAATCAAAACAAGGTTAAGTTATTTTCAACTATAGGATTTCTATTATATTATAGCATCTGCCATTTATTCAAGAAGGTGGTATATTTAATCAATAAACACGTATGTGTTTAGAAAAAATAAAAGGGAGAGGATCTGCAGAAATAAACGTTGCAAGTGAATAGAGCAAACCTGTCGTAGTTATTTGCTTCAGATTTAGCCCTGGCAACGATCTGCCTGCCATCTGCAGCTAATCCTGCCACAGCCTAAAATTGGAAAAAGATTCACACATATATTAAAAGTTTAAAGTATCATATAACAATTAGAATGTAACAAAACAGGAAAAAGTAAACAAGAAAGTACCATTCCAGAGTGGCGATGAACGGCGTGTATTCTTCTATTGGAACCCGGAAGCATCATTTTGGAAGGAATAAGCTTCTCAACACCCTAAAAATCAACCCAATTCACAAAAAACAAGTCGAAAAATTCAAAAACCTAAAAATGAAAACCCAAATATCATTATTACATCTAGGTAATCTTACCAACACAATTCCATCTTTGCATTTGATCCCAATAACAGTCCTGCAACAAAGTTTCAAATCTAACATCAAAACCTAAAAAACAAAATCTACATTTTCGTCAAAACCCTTGATTCCAAATCTCAAAAGAACTAAAACCCATGAATTGAAATCGAAGGTGAAGCGAAAAGGATAACCTACCCGCTGTTATCGACGGCTTTGGCAGCATACTCGATCTGGAAAACGCGACCGTCAGGTGAGAAAGTAGTGACGGATAGATCGTAGCCTGTTCCGATGCTACTCATTTTGTTGAACGATTGTTGATTTTGGTATTGAAGATTTGGTTGTTTCTTCTTCTTCGATGAGCCTCTGTTACTTTTGGTTTTCTCGGAGAAGAAGAAAATATAAAGAGGGTTTTGCTTGTTCAAGAGTTAACTGAGTCAGTGAAATGAAAGTTAAACAAATTGCATATGAGGCTTCTTATTTTTCTGATATTGCAAATATGTTCCCAATATAAATAGGCTTGCTCTCATGTACTCTATATTTGGTGAATTTTACTAGTAACCTTATTAATGTTATCATATTTGGTTCAATTTTAGATGAAATTGGATTGACATTTTAAAATGTCTATTTAAATAAATGAATTTTAAAACAAAGGTATCATTATTTATTAGTTTTAAGCAAGTTATTATTCTCACTCTTGAAGTTTTTAAGTAAAAGAGTTGAGTTTTATATTTGAAGTGTAATCTTTTAAATTGGGTTAATTTTTATACAGCTATTAGGATTGGGACTGTTAGATATCACTGAGATGATTAGGAAGTGAGATGAGATTTCTCATATCTAGATGATGATTTCTAGGTAGAAATTGCACAAGGTAGTGATTAAGTGAGAAGTTGTAAGTTGTGATTGTTTAGGCTTTGAATTAATACTATCATAGTAGATTTCTTTCCTGGCTTAGTAGCCTCCAGATGTAGGTGATGTTGCACTGAACTGGGCTAACAACTCTATATGTTATTTATCATTTTACAGTTTAGTTTCAGTATCACTTACAATCTGTCTGCTAACAGATGTTGTAACATTTGTGGTGACCTAAATAAAAAGAATATCAGACCTGAATAAGACTTCTCCATCCTGAGTACCTGTTATGAATGCATGAAGATGCATGAGGTGAATGAGTGAATGCAATGTCATGTTCAATCATTTTCAAGGAACCTGCATGCTTCGATTCTTTTGTAAGTAAGAGATGGACAAACACAACATAATATTCACAAGCACGATTCCTTGGAAATGGAAAGAACATGTGTGTTAACTTTTTTCATGTATACAATTTTTCACATTTCTTTTTTTGTAAAATAAATATGCTATGATGCAAGGTGCAATAACATAGGTTCAAAAGTTCAGCATAACAACTGTGTAATCCTCTGGATAACTATTGTATAAATCTGTTGAATAATCTGAACATCACATGATCAAAGGTTTAACACCAAATTCAAGACACAACGAAACCAAGTACCGTGAATAACTGTTGCATATTCTCTGGATAAGTTGGATATATCTGGATCAAGGGTCCGGAGCATAACTAAAGAACCATCCTGAATACAGAATCCAAAAACTCAGAAAATAAATTTGAGACCCACGTAGTCACCAACAGAACGACGGTCACTGTATGTACCTATAAGATATATTCCAGCCTCACTCACTGGTCAAATCTAGGTCAGGATAAGGCAAGGGTAACCCAAAATCATGGATCCGCCTGAGGCCACTATCATCGAAACACCTACGTGAGACGATAGCACCTCATATGTACCTCAACTAAGCATGGACGATATGACCGTACTAGCAAATCAAAGTCGACTAGTCGTTCATGTTCCAGTATACTCCTATGGTTCCTATAGTTGTCACTTGGCCTGGTGTGATACGGTGGCACAACTGATTGTTTAATATTGGTCTTGTGTTTTGTATTCGCAAATGTGCGATAAGCAAGAGTCGCCGTCATCTTTTCTTTTATTCAACAAAGGAAAGGGTGAAAAGAACAGAAAAAGACATTTTCGAGATTTTTTCTGAGTAAGGGGATAGATTATGGAAAGGGGAGGTGTTACACTTTTTCCATCTGTAGTTTTCTACGGTCTCTTAGAGGTTTGCTCATTTTGAAATACCTTTATATTTTGGGTGTTTGAAAATGTTTTGAAAATGCCTTAGTGCGACGATTCGCTTTATGATAACTCTTGTATCAGTCCTCAAGAGTGTTGACAAAGCGAAATTTTTTGAAAGTTGCTTTTGGAAAGTAGTATTTGTGTAAGTGCAAAATGTTTTTTGAGCAAACTTCTAACAACTATCTACTTTTATACTCGAAAAGGGTCGTTCTTTTCCTCCTGTCCTTTAGATAGTGTTATCCTACTATTAGCGAGTAGGTAGCCCTATCATTGGATGTATTAGGGACATTCGAAAGGAACGTTACAGTCACGAAGGCAACTTGTGGAGACGCTTTAGCAATTTTCTTTTAGGGACTAGATCATTTATCAAAAGGCAATTGTAGGGTCATCGAGGGACTATGATCTTTTTTGATTTATGGGTCTTTGCTAAAGTGTTCCTGCCTCATGACTGTTTTATTTCTTAAAGGCAACCAAAGTGGGATAACCTAGAGGTGTTTGTGTGCAATTGTGTTTAATTCAGTTATTTATCTTTTTGTTAAGTTTGCTAGAGTTTGATTATTAGTCTTATCATACACGCCTAATTACTAGCAGATAATATATATATATATATATATATATATATATATATATATATATATATATATATATATATATATATATATATATATATATATATATATATATATATATATATATATATATATATATATATATATATATATATATATATATATATATATATATATATATATATATATATATATATATATATATATATATATATATATATATATATATATATATATATATATATATATATATATATATATATATATATATATATATATATATATATATATATATATATATATATATATATATATATATATATATATATATATATATATATATATATATATATATATATATATATATATATATATATATATATATATATATATATATATATATATTATAGAATATTAAAGTGCAGGAATTTAAATCTACGCTATTACAATGCTTTGCGGAGGGGATTTACACTGTACAAGAATGAGGGGGATAGAACAGTAAATGTCTTAGTTTTAATCTATTACATCCAGTAGGCAGATACAATAATATGGAAAAATATGAAAATAGGTAAATGCGCAAAGTAGAAAAGATGTCTGAAAAATCCTAAGGTGAAAAATATTTTTGTTTTGTTTTTATTTTAAGAAAATATAACCTATGTCTATTTAGCTTTAATTTCAAGAAAGAGGTTAAAATAATTAATTCATTTATTTACAAAATTAATTTAATTAGAAAAGACATTAGCCTAATGTTTTCTTGTGATTTTGATTTAAAGTCAATTTAAATAAAAGGATCAATAAAGAAATAACAAAAAGAACAAAAATAAAATGTAAAAAGGACATCCTTCGATCTAAGGAGAAGAGAGAAGCTTTGATCCAGAGAGAGTCATGCCCTTTCGTTTCATGAAGGATGTTGCCTTTTGATTCTGTGAAGGGGATGGGATTTTTGATCCAGGAGGGATGTTGTCTTTTTCGATCCAATGAGGGAGTTATTCTTCGAATTGAACCTGCAAGGCAAATGCTGGCAAAAAATAAAGATGCAGGACCTGGGTATCGAACCCAGGTCCTTCTCCCTAATTCGAATCTTCTGTCCTCGGGCCTAAGCTTATTTTGACTTGAAACAGGCTATGCCATGAGTTTCGAAAGGCAGATCATGTCATGCCTTTCGATGGCGTGATTTTATTCCTGCATGTTATCTTGCGTATGATATGCTCATATAAACACAAATGGTATTGGCAGCACATATATACCAATAATATGTATTTAAAAGGCTTAGAAATGCAGTTTCGATTTGAGTAAATCCTTACCAACTGGAGATGCTTCGATTTATGAATCTGAGCATGGCTTGGCTTGGAACAGATTCTTGGGAATCTCAGGAACACAAATATATCCTTCGTCTGAATTGAGGGTGCCTGCAAAGAAAACTAGTTAGAATTTTGATCCTTTCTAGGGTGGTGTGAGTATTCTCTTTTTCCAGGAAATCTCCCCCGTATGTGATGCAACACTTGTGATCTCTTTATATAGAGGGGGTAGATGGGACAGGAAGGCAAAGGTTTAAACAACCTTGATTATGTGTTTGAAAGTCATGAATGAGAATTTGTAACGTTGGCCAAAAACATGGGATCTTGTCCTCTTTTTAAATTTGAATGTATGTGGACATTTTGGCTCCTTCGAATGCCTTCAGTTTTCATCCTTCAATTGGGCCTTCAATTGCCTTTTTTTCTAATGAACCTCATGTTGCTTTTTTTCGATTGGACCTCGTGTGTAACCTTCGAATGGGCCTTCTGCACGCTTCTTCAAATGGCTCTGATTCAGCCCCTTCGAATGGCCAGAAATAAGTGTCATTCGAATGGACTTTTGGAAAGCCATAGTGTAGAAATTGGGCTGTCAAAACTTAGCATGAGGGAAGTTCCTGCCTTGTACAGGCATGCATGCAGCAGGCATTTTCCTTAGGTATGAAGAAAATTCCTGCCTTGTGCAGGCAGGCATGCAGACCATTTGTCCCAATGGGGGCCTGTGTGAAAGAAACCAAAGGTGCTTAAAACGAAGGAGGCCCAGAGATAGTTGCAAACGAAAGAAGCCAAGGTGCTTCAAGCGAAGGAAGTTAAAAGGAACTCCCCTTCTTTCTGAATCCAAGGGAGCCATTTTAAAGGAAAACGAAGCTCAATCGAAGACTAGTGAGTCAAGCTTGTATTAAAGGTTGTTAAATTCCCAGTCGAAACTTGTTGTTATGCCAATCGAAGGACACTGTTTAACTGCCAATCGAAGGAAATTGTTGAACTTCCAATCGAAAGACAATATTCAAAAATTTCCTCTTTCTTTAACCAAGTGTTTGTAACCACCATGTGAGGGGAAAAATCTTGGGAAAATATGGGAGGATAAATTTTGGGGTACAACAGCTGCCCCTGTTCAATCTTCTTAAATCTGAGGATGTAGATTGACTTGTATGTCTTTCGTGATTTAAAGGTGGAAGATGATTGAACACTAGAGTACCCAGAAATTTGCACTCGTCTGAATTGATATTGTTGATGGATAATATCGGGAATAGGCTTACAGATGCCATTTGGAATAGATGACAGAAGACTG